CTCTCTCTCTCTATCTATCTCTCTCTCTCTCTCTCTCTCTCTATCTCTCTCTCTCTATCTCTCTCTCTCTCATGTACACAAACATACACACAATGATCACATTCCCCTAACAATACACCACTACATGCACGAGACCTCAAGATAAATTATGCACAGTCATGATAAAACAACACATGAGTCTGGAAAATTTTGACACAACTATTACACAGCGACCAATTTGCTTCCAAACAGTCAGCTAGTCCATTCCACCATCCTTGTAGTTCATCCCACCACCCACAGAGGTCGACTCACCACCCACAAGGAGAACAAAGTAAAACCGCAGACACAATATCAATTTTTACAACCTTCTACTGCAACTTTGCATGCTTGTGTTGCCCAAAGAGAACTTTTAGAACTCCATCAAAGCTTAATCATCGCAAAACGGTGAATTCAAATAAAGGTAAATGTATCATGCAACCCTAAATGAAGAATGTTCAACATCAAAACACTGGGAAAATCCCTGGAACTTTTGAAGTATGCCAAAGTGAGGTAACTCTGAACCACCTAAAGATAAACTGAGTCCACTAAAATGTACCCAAAGGCCCAGCTCAATGACTGGATGGAGAATTTATATAAAAGTGTTTTGTATCACAGAAAAGCAACCTCGGATGAGGACCATCACAATGTATGAGAACTCACCACCACCCCCATTCTATCCCAGCACATCTTTGCAGCCCACCATGGGACAGACAACAAAAGACAAGCTTAAGATGAGCGCAGTGGTCCAGAGGAGAAGTGCAAACAATGAGGCAGATCCCGGCAGGCCTCTACGACACTTGCTGTGGCTGATGGGGTGGATGCGGCACTATGGGAGGCAGGGGGGACGACTCGCCCAAAGGTCGTAGGATGGGCGTGTGTCGGTCCAGGAGGTCACTGACCGTGATGTTGGAGTTGGTCAGTCGGACGCTCAGGGGCTTCATCCCCTTCTGGTTCTCTTCCAGCATGTCCAGCTTTCTATAGTACTGGGGACACAAAGACAGCAAAATAAATGAGCACACCAAACAATTAAAAGAAGAAGTATAAAAATAATAATACTTTAATGATAATAATAGAAAAAGAAGAGGAGCAAGAAGAAGAAGAATGATAATAATAATAACAGTAACAACAATAACAATTGTAATACAAATAATAATACTACTACTAATAATAACAATAATGGCAAAAATAAAAACAGTACCAGTAACAATAAAAATAACAATTTATAGTATTGAACCCCAATAGTGCAAATTTCCGCTCAAAAGTAAGCTCTAAGCGCATTAAAATTATTTTATAACCCCAACAGACCTGATAACATTTTGGATCTCAGCTTCCTGGGAAGCATACTCACACACACACACACACACACACACACACACACACACACACACACACACACACACACACACACACACACACACGTCAACTACACATGCAGAGCAATTATCACATTTGTGACTTAATACTTTTGGACATATCTAAACATGCATGGGTGAGTCGACTTACCCGTCCGGGTCCTTTCTTTACACGACCGCCCTCTTTCACGATGACACCGTGTGACACCTCCATCTCCTCAATCTGAAAAAACAAAACAAAGCATCATCAAAAGCACCATACAATAAGATATAATGTACACACAACACATGGGGTCATCAAGCACACAACACAATATAACATATAGCACTGACACCAAATCATACAGTTTGACAAATTAGCGCATACATTTAAAACGTTTTTTGTTTTTTTTTCTTGGTGGGTTTTGTTTTGTTTTTTGGGGTTTTTTTGGGGGGTTGGCTTGTTTGAGTAAAGAGAAGTGCATTAACATGGCAAATGGTCACCTAGAGTAGGAAAAGAGTGAGACAGACAGGCAGAAACAACAGATGGAAAGAAAAAAAAGTAGGACCAGTAGCGGGGCGCCATTGGTGCGAGCGCCCCACTTTACACTGGCCTTCACCCCCCCCCCCCCCCCTTTTCTAATTGTTCTAAACCAGTCAGTGCTCTAGACCTACATTAGGCTTACTACATCCTTGCGATCTGTCACCCACTGCCTCTTCCAGTGAAGAGACAGACAGCGAGGAGGGTTTATGCTCGCCGCTTGCCGTTGTGTCTGCTGGGAGCAAGCAAAATCTTTGCACCACAGTTATTTTTGTCACTGAAGATAAATCTAGCCATTGTTCTTCCTGCACCAGAAGAAAAGTGCATGAAACTGCTCTTTGCAGCATCAATTTGGTGCAAGCTAAAAATTTGATTCAAGTTTCCACTAGCCTATCTACTACACTAATAGATTTTTTATAGAGTCTACGGTAACTCAATGAAGAATGGGTATCGAAACTGTTGTCTCTCTTTATTTTGTAGCAAGTCCTGGTGCAGCATGAAGTTATTAGAAATCTTTAAATCTTCTCAGATTGTGAGCATAGTGAGTTGTTAGTATTGTTTCACTTTATGGCAGCTTTTATGCGGTTTCATCAAGAAACAGTTGTAAATATCGATAGATGTAGATTACGGAATATCCTGCAGATTCTAATTGACTTTCTCTAGAAATCTTAATAGTAGCTAGTAAGCCTATTGCCCATTTGCTCACTTTCCAATTATGCATCACCTTGTCTGCAACCCACGCGGTGCCACTGAGTAGGACCTAACAGAGGCACACTGTAACTACCCACCAGAGCACACAGTCAATACAAACTACTAGTGTTATGTTCAGAACAAAAACTTTGAAATTTAAATCTGTGGGATGAGATGAGCGAACTACAGACAAAATCAGACCTGCCTCATCCTGACTTTATCTACACAGCAGGTCTGCTGCTTACAAAATTATACACATCCAATCACAGTCCTCGGCGGAATCAAGTCTTTGGGTACAAAATCCTTTTAAAGGAAGAAAGAGAACTGTGGTGAAATTCTAATTCAGACAAAACTATTAAAAATCACTTCAGGTATTGGTTTAAGTAAAAATGAGCTCAACATTACATAACATAGAAAAAGCAAGCTACTTACCAGACCACTGCTGGGGAAGTGATTCAAATCAAAGCCCGAAACAAAGACAGAAACTACAGAAGAAGACAAAAGAAGTAGAACCTACCTGAAGCTCCCTCACACCACCCTATTAAATTCATTTTCAGAAAGAACAACTGCGTGTTTGCCTTGGATGTGGTTGGTAGGATAAGGGCACAGAAGTTAGCACTAATGTTACGGCCATTTGTCTCTTTGTATGAATGTTACTGGATACAAAACCAGTATCTGTGGTGCAGTGGTCAAGCTGCTCATCTTGAAAGCAGTGAACTTTTTTCAATTTGCATGTGGGGTAGACACTTTATCAAGTAGGCCTACTTTTGTCTATCTGCTGGGATATATCCAACACAGCCGTAGCTGGCCCAGACAGACTGGGTCAAAACAGCAAACTGAACGAAATTGTGCTGAGGGGGGGGGGGGTGTTGTAACACTCACTACAATTGGCTAAACTGAGGTCCAGAATCTAGCTCTACGGCTATGACAGTGGACACGTTGCTCTGTACGTCGCTCTGTGTGTCCACTCTCCGATAGATATTTTTCCAAACTGAGCAGAGAGGAGTTAAAGAAAAGATGAAACAAAAAAATCTGAACAAACAAGGCAAACGTCCAAGCCACTACAACTCAATAAAGTTTTAGATACAGTCCCTGGAACCCACAGGGATAAAAAAACTGGTAAGCCTACAGACAGAGAGTAAAATCTGATAGAGTTAATGAGATTTTGAACTCAGAAACAGAAGGCTCATTTGTGAAACAAACAACAAAACCTCTTTAAAAAATTAAATCTCAAGAATAACATGAGGAAAAATGAATAAAAACTGGTCAAGTCATACCTCAGCGGTATTCAGCGCCTTCTTCACTTTATGTAGCATAGCAGTTGTGGCCAGTTGGAGGGAAGTGGACGAGGCAGACTTTGGTCACATAAATTTCCACAAAATAAACAACACACACACAAAGGGCAACAAGATCAGTCCATTTTTGGAGAGTACAGAGAAGGGCTTTCACAGAATGATGGCCTTATAGTGAAAGGGCAACAGTAAGACAAGACACAGAGGTGTAACAGAGGGATGAGTCAGAAGGAGGGTCATGAAAGGACAACAGTCAATATGGTTTGTTAAGCTGGGACAAAACCATGCATAAAAAACAATGCAGGAATAGAACAGATATGAGAAATGTCACCACAGGGACACCAGTCAGATGAGAACATCGACATAACGGCAGTTAATTAGTGCTGGTGAATGATGACAAGAACTAAACGAGTTGGGCACCAGTAGGAGCTGCTTGAGGACCCTCCCTGCCTCTTACACTGAGATCAGAAACGAGACAAAACCGGTTACCTTTCATCATGACACTCAGAGAGAAGAAAAACACATTGTTGTCAAGCTGGTAGGAGAGAGAATAGTAATTTCATAATGTTTATGTGGTGTCTGCACCCATACACTCCTTCCCATCCACCCCCAAAATCTGTCTTTTCCTGTATCAAGGGAGAAGACAGTACTGCAAACCTGCACTCAGTTCCCACTTTCCACCACTCTGTGTGACGACACACAGAACATAGCAAAAACACATCAGGGGACCAAAGACAATGCAGCAACACTTCATGATACGAGCACACAGGCTAGAAAAAACAACACATAATGTGATCAAATAGAGAGCACTGAAACATCTGACTTACCAGTGGAGGAGGGAGGGGAGCCACACTGGAGGAGGAGCTGGGCTGTTTCACTTTAGAGGCTGTAGGTGAGAGTAACAGTTATACTTGTAACCATAACCACAACAACAGTGCTTTTCAAATACTTTTCTCTTTTAAAAAATCAGTCTTAGAGTACAGTAGTCTCCGCCTAAACGCACGGTGCTCGGGAGGGCTCCTTAGCGTGTTTATGCGGAGCGTGCGTTTACATGAACCTTTGCAAGGGGATGAAGGGACGCAGTCATCTCAATTCCTTATTACTCTAGTGATCTCCCTTGGAGAAGGGGGTCATTTTGGCAGATAATGTGACGATACGTGACTGTTTTGTGAAGGATTCCCCGACAGGGGTTAAGAATACAACGGTGTTGAATGGGGTGGAGGGGGGGGAGAAAGACAAACTCAATGTAATGACTATGCACTATAAACGTCGGGAACAGAAAGCCTACGACACTAAGAGGAAACTGTTGGTGATAGTCATAGCGACGATGGACCAGCCACGTGGCTTTCCAAGCGACCATCCCCGACCGTAAATTTATGCAGAATCATCCTCGAGAAACATTTTCTCCTGTGATTCGTTGAACAAGTACATTATAAGTTCTTCGAGCGCAGCTTATTTGGCTAATCTTTAATCCTATAGAGGCCTGTCTAGTGTTTTACGGCATTTACGCATGTCGCGCATCAGGCCTTGATCAAGATCTAACAAAACATTACACGCAGTCACTCAAACTCAAACACCAGTCAGAAACCTTCTATCAAAGATACATTTCCAGTGACCAATCAAAAAACATTTCAGTCCCCCCAATCCCCCCCCCCTCCCCGCCCCCCAACATTTAACCGACCAGCCCTAGACCGAGACCTGAGCGTCAGTGGAAAGTAGGGTGTGAAAACGCAGTCCATCACTCTCTTTGTACGGCGTGAGGGGCACTCTCACCAAATATCCGGTTTTTCTAGTAAATTCTAGGCGTGTCTTATGCAGGCTGTGCAGATAGTAGTGGACACTGGAAATTTCCCCTTGCCAAGCTTAACTTGTCGGCGTGTTTCGCGGATCGGAGCGTGCGTTTAGAGGTAGTGACCGTGCGTTTAGACATAGTAAAAAAACCCGTCAGAAGACGAAAGCGTGCGTTTGAGCGGAGCGTGCTTTTGTATGGCGTGCGTTTAGGCGGAGACTACTGTACAGTGGAACTCGGATTCAATGAGGTCGCCGGGCCTGACCTAAAATCTCATTGAATCCGAGTGTTCGTTATAGCAAACACGAGGTTTTGTGTAGATAATTACTGGCACTGAACAAGTAATGTAAAAAGAGAAGTCACAAGTAGTGCCTGAAATGCCTGCATATTATGAGCTGTGTAAAAAAAAAATACCGATTCGTTCAAATGCACTCCTGTGTCATCTCGATTGTTCACCACAAAGTTGTGTTGCTGTGTAGAGCCCTGCATACGGCAACTTTAGATTCCATAGACCAGCGCACAATTCATTACGAAGATCTACGTCAAGACTAGCTTATCATTGTAATAATGATCAGTTGCCGAGGAAAAAAAAAAAACGCGTTTGTATCTGTGACGTTCAACACCCGGACCACTAGTGCCACCCCCCCCCCCCCCCCCCCCCTCCCCGACGCACACACACAGTCACACACGTGCAGGGCGCCCATCCGACCCCGACACACGCCAGAGTAGACTCGTGTGCGAGCCAACAACGCATGTAATGGTATGAAAAAAGGTCGCTGATTGGTCGTATGCAACCGGCTAAGTGAATAATGGTTCACGATGCAGTTACAATGAATGGTTTCCCGGAATAGATAAAGTTCGTTCTGGAACTGTATCTTTTATAATTTAAAAAAATGAATTTTTGAAAAGCACATAAATTTTGGTTTTCTCAAGGATTTTTTATTAGCTTTACCCTTCCCTTTACTCACACCAGATCTACTTACACTAACAGAAATATCACTGTCAGGCTTTTTGCGCCTCTCAGGTACAAATTCTGGATCATTAGGATCGGTAAGTTCACTTTCTGACAAACTAGACTCATTGAAAACAATTTAAAATGTTGCTAGGTCAGCTGTGTACACGTACTTTCGAAATCAGCATGGGGGCAGCCATTTTCCCTAGAACTGACGTTTGTAATATCCTGAGTGACATCCCCTAAAAGTTCGTACTAGAAAAAGTTCTACCCCTACTTCTGTGAAACTTCACACGAAACGAAAGATATGGATGCACTAGCGCTGACGACGATTCCCGAGGCTCTCTCGGGATTACGAAAAGTGCAAAAAAATTATAAAGCTGGTCCCGTGGGTGTCACGGGATCCGCCATAAGAGGGTAATTGGCCAGTCCCAAGAATGTCTTGGGATCCGGCATCATTGAGTTAAAGGAACAAGAACAAGCTAGACTTCTTTTGTCCATCGAATGCCATCTAATACCTCCCCTCTCCCTTATCTTCTCTTCCTTATACTATCCTCCCCTCTGTCTCCCTCTCTCTCTATCGCCTGCCTGAATAATCTCTTTCAATTTTTGCCATTCTGGAAATCAGCTGTCTGCAAAGTTTATGAGATTGTCAACTCCACCTAGCTGTTCATAGGGCCCTATTCTTCCATATACCCCCGAAAAATTGTTTAGAACAAAAAGCTGACAATGATCAAAAAGAACAGAAATACGTTTGGTTTTATTTCCCGCATGTTCTACTCCCCTGGATTTTACCTAGATCGGATTTGATATCTACTGATCTAATAATATGCTCCCAAACTTTAGAGCACTGACTTACATGTGCTTAGAGACTCTGTGGACACCGTCTTGGTTGGTCGTGCCTTCCGGAGTTTGCTACCCGTGGATTTTCCCTTCCTCATGGCATCTAGACGAGCTTGGGCTGCCTCCACTGCTGGGTCCACCACGTGGTACTTGACGTTCACTCTGGCAAAACAAACACATGTACCGGGTCACTGGTGCTCTCACTACAGCATCATAAATTATATATATAGCTGTCACAACATTCTCACTATGGCAACATAAATATATACCTAGTCACTGATGCCCTCACGGTGGCACCACAGTGTGCTTTACTTAACAGCTTAAAAGCCGATCATCCAATTTCTGGCCAACCAGCTAGCTCTGGTCTACATTTATAAGAAAAAAGTTCACCCATTTGTAAGACTGACATAATTTCACTTCTCTTACAATCAAATGCGAAGCAACATGGTGAAATCAGGCACATGTGAAAATAATGAAATCGAAAAAACAGGCTTTTTTTTATTTTAAGTTTGGCAATTTTTATCAATTTTTTTAGCTTAGGCTCAACACCTTTTATGTCCATGTAAATTAGCAATCCCAAAATTCTATTTAAAAAAGATGGATATTTTTTTCATCATAGGCAAGACAAACGAATAAGCTTTAAGATGATACGAATAACTCTGCATGCCCAAAAATCAATGAGAGCCTGATTCAACCGTGTCAAGAGACAAATAAAGAATATAATGAATCAGCATCTGCGGTGATCAAGAGGCAGTGTTTGACAACTTACTTGTGTGTGGGTAGTTTCTCTGGGTCTAGACGCATGACAGCGACCACATTGCCTAATTCATCGTACACAACATCTTTGTTCCCCGGGGGACGGCCTGTCTGGACCTGGAAAAAAGCCACAAGTGTTCAAGAAGGTCAACAAACACTAAGGTCACTTTTGAGAGGTGGGATAGACAAAGCCCCAACTACCCCTGCAAGCATTACTACTGCCCCTATATCTATTACTGATGGCACAGAACATTATGATAAATAGAGTGAGATCATGACTGTTCAGTGAATTCCTTCCCCTCTTAACACTGCCATGTTGTTTGATATCCACTGAAACAATTTCAGCTTTTGAATAACATCTCCATAGAAAGAATTAATTCTGCATCCTTGCAGTTACAGTAAAGGATGTTACTCTATAACAGATAACACCTTTCTTCCCCATAACCAGATGTAGACAAAAATGTAATACAGAGCAACTGTGCAGTTGCATCACACATCTAACCTGTACAGAATACTATAAGACACTAGGCATCGGGTACAGGGGTGAAAGCCTATGAACTACAGGACTGATAACAAAAACATCTTCATTTAATATACAAACATCCAGAAATCCATATGTAATAATAATTTTCACATAATGAAACAACTCCACAGCCAGAAGGATGCACATGCCTCCTCATTTCACAATACACATTCCCACATACTACACAACACACTACTCCCTGTTCCTAAAAACATTCCTACACACTGCATAAAACATGTTTCTTCACACTACAAAGTGCACATGCCCTCACACAGGGCAAAACATTCATTCACTGTCATAAAAAACATTCTGACACACCACATAACACATATTCCTCAACACTACACAACACACTTGCCCGCACAATGCACAGCAAACTTCCCTGACACATACTCTGCTGTCAGCTGACAAAACGCCTTTTTTTTTGTCCAGAGCAGTTTCGAGAAATCAACGATTTTCAGTTTTCTTACAATATCTCAACTACTTTGCACAGTACATCAAGGTTTGAACTCGCACTCTAATCAGAATGTCATCCCCTATGTACAACATAAATTTTGTTTATTTTCTTTAAGAAATAAACAAATAATCAAGAAAAAAGGCGTTTTGTCAGCTTCGCCTTACACAAGGCGTTTTAATAAGAACGCCTTTTTTTAGATGTTCGCTGACAAAACGCCTTTTTTTACAGTCGGTGGCAGAAAAAAAGGCGTTTTGTCAGCTTTGCCCTGAACAAGGCGTTTTAACAAGAACGCCTTTTTTTTAGACGTTCGTTGACAGAACGCCTTTTTTTTAGTCGCTGGCACAAAAAAAGGCGTTGTGTAGGCCAACTCTTTAGAAATATG